GAGAGAGAGAGAGAGAGAGAGAGAGAGAGAGAGAGAGAGAGAGATAGTTTACAAGCAAAGGCATGTTTGTCTGTCTCACTTTTATGACTTTGGTTCCCTTCTCATTTCCTCCCTGGAGCAGACGTTTTTTTTCTTTCCCTGCAATCACAACCCCACAGTCACAAACACATCTGTAGGTGTCATCTCCTTGGTCTCCAATTTGTTGCCGTCTCTAATATCAAAAAGCCAGACTTTTCATCTAAGAGCGCACACACACACACACACACACACACACACACACACACACACACACACACACACACACACACACACACACACACACAAATAAAGATTTTATCTTTATTTTTACCCTTGTCTGACAAATCATCATCACCCAATGTTTAAAGCTTATGTGGTTTTTCTTATTGTAACGTGTTATTTACTAACGCTCATATGTAACCTTGATATTCCTCCTCATACAAAACAGGGTCTGACTGATTATCTAAGAACATTGCAGGTCTGCAAACGGCTGTGGAAATTTTCGCTGGACAAATATACACTTTAACAACTTGTATTTTACCTTATAGTCATTTATTTGGTTGTTGTCAAATTATTCACAAACCACTCATAGAAATGTATGCACATGTATTTTTACAGTTAAACCACATTTCGAGTCGTTTCCAATTCCGCTTTGTAGATGAACAGCTAACACAATCATTCTTATGCAGGATGGTTTAAAACACACAGTAGACACAAGGATATGCCTAATAGTAAGCTGTAGCATGATGAACATATATCCTAGAATCAACAGTCTTGCTTTGTGAGACATTCAGTATTGTCAATAAACACCAGTTCTTTAAGATAAAGTCACTGCCTCGTTTTAGGGATATATTGTGAGCCACATGCAATACGCCGTGCCGGACTTTCTAAAGCCACGATCACACTAAGTCGTGGCTACAGATCTGCGGCATTTTTCCAATTCTTTATTCCGTCTGTAGTGGTAAACGGAACATAAATCAATCGTGCATTCGTTAAGTTACGGGGTATGCTGAACGTGATAAGTAAAACAAACGCAAACATAGAACAGAGAAATAAAATGTATAATAAATTACGTATATTTTTTAAAATCTGTTTGCGATTAGAAGGCATTTCTATTGTAGGGCCTATCTTACAATATAAAGCGCCTTTATCAGACTGTTGTGAGTTGGCGTTGTATAGATAAAATTTAATTAAATTTGAAATTGAATTTCTTTTTGGTCCCAGGTACCGTGAAACATTTGCTTTAAAAACATGACTTTACTGAAATGCATCG